AGGGATCCTTCTCACTAGTAATGATCTCCCTATGGGCCCATTCTTCCCTCCCATGTGAATCGCCACTTCCCCCCTTGTGATTTCATGCATTTGAGTGAGTTTCACGCACTCCTTTCTCACTTTCTCTCCACTTCTTCACTTAGGAGCAAATCGCAACTCTTGTTTATACTTAATCTAGTGTTTAGATGATGATTGTCTCTTGTCTAGTTGATTGTCTCTTGTTTAGTTCATTTCTCCACTCCTATGTGAAGCACCACTTCCCCCCTTGTGATTTCATGCATTTGAGTGAGTTTCAGTCACTCTTTTCTCATTTTCTCTCCGCTTCTTCACTTAGGAGCAAATTGCAACTCTTGTCTATGCTTAATCTAGTATTTAGATGATGATTGCCTCTTGTTTAGTCCATTTCTCCACTCCCATGTGAAGCGCCACTTTCCCCCCTTTGTGATTTCATGCATTTGAGTGAGTTTCACTCACTCTTTTCTCATTTTCTCTCCGCTTCTTCACTTAGGAGCAAATCGCAACTCTTGCCTATGCTTAATCTAGTGTTAAGATGATGATTGCCTCTTGTTTAGTCCATTTTTCCACTCCCATGTGAAGCGCCACTTCCCCCCTTGTGATTTCATGCATTTGAGTGGGTTTCACTCACTCTTTTCTCACTTTCTCTCCACTTCTTCACTTACGAGCAAATCGCAACTCTTGTCTATGCTTAATCTAGTGTTTAGATGATGGTTGCCTCTTGTTTAGTCCATTTCTCCACTCCCATGTCAAGCGTCATTTCCCCCCTTGTGATTTCATGCATTTGAGTGAGTTTCACTCACTCTTTTCTCATTTTCTCTCCACCTTTTCACTTAGGAGCAAATCGCAACTCTTGCCTATGCTTGTTCTAGTGTTTTGATGGTTCCTTTCACTTACTTTGCTCAACTTTCACATAATGATGTTCCATTGCATTCTTGGTTGTATTCATAAGCTTCAAGCATGTGTTTGAGCAAGTCTCACTCACATGCATGACTCAACTCTCACATGATGATGTTCCATTGCATTCTTGGTTGTATTCATGAGCTTCAAGCATGTGTTTCAACAAGTCCCACTCACATGCATGGCTCAACTCTCATATGATGACGTTCCGTTGCATTCTTGGTTGTATTCATGAGCTTCAAGCATGTGTTTGAGCAAGTCTCACTCACATGCATGACTCAACTCTCACATGATGATGTTCCGTTGCATTCTTGGTTGTATTCATGAGCTTCCAGCGTGTGTTTGAGCAAGTCTCACTCACAGGAATGGCTCAACTCTCACATAATGATGTTCCGTTGCATTCTTGGTTGTATTCATGAATTTTAAGAATGTGTTTGAGCAAGTCCCACTCACATGCATGACTCAACTCTCACATAATGATGTTCCGTTGCATTCTTAGTTGCATTCATGAGCTTCAAGCATGTGTTTGAGCAAGTCTCACTCACATGCATGACTCAACTCTCACATAATGATGTTTCATTGCATTCTTGATTGCTTTCGTGAGCTTCGGGCAGGTGTTTCAGCAAGTCTCGCTCACATGCACGACTCATCTCTCACATGACAATGTTCCGATTCTCACTTGGTTGTTCTACTACTCATGTACATATGTTCTCACTACTCACACCCTCATTCTGTCAAGTTCATGCATTTGGTAGTGTTCCGATTCTCACTTGGCTGTTCTACTACTCATGTACATATGTTCTCACTACTCACACCCTCATTTTGTCAAGTTCATGCATTTGGTAGTGTTCCGATTCACACTTGGCTGTTCTAC